ATATATATATAAATATATGCATGCGGATGTACGTATATATATATGTATGTATTTTTATGTAATAATTTATATATGCATGTATATATATGTATATATATATGTACAATGCATATGCAAACTTTTGGATAAACATATACATATGCATATATACAATGTATATATATATATATATGTATATATATTTATATTTATGTATGTATTATTATGCATGTATTTTGCATTTATGGAAGTGTACCTGTACTTCACATGTATATAGGTTTTGTCTTTATGTACAACTTTTTAGATTTCGTTATGATCTGCTCTTCTGTTTTCTTACTTAAACTTTAAGTAATTGTTGTTCTTGTTGTTGTTCTTCTTATTTTGTTCGGCTTTCTTTTTTATGAGTTTATTAAAGGCATTCTTTTTTTCTGTCATCTTCTAAGAATTGTTTTGCTTTTTTATTTTTAATTCAATGATTTCTTCATTTTGTTGTTTAAGTAGTTGGCAGTTATTTTACTTAATTACTTTTAAATTGTAATTACAATTAGCTTTCAAATATATATATATATATACGTACATATATATATATATATATATATATATTTATATATATAAATATATGTAAAACTTTTTTTTTTTTGAAATTTTTTTTTTTTTTTTTTTTTTGTTTTGTGTACACATGTATACGGTTGCTTTTGTGTATTATTATAGTTTCAATTAATTAAATTATTTATTACAGTTATTCATATTATTATTTGTATTTAAAGTAAATCGTTTCCATTATACACAAGTTTTTCAGTTTTTTAATTAAATTTTTTCCCGTTTTTTTTTATTTTTCACTACATAACTCTTTAGGATTCAATTTGGAGATTTATACAAGACAACAAAAACAAAAAAAAAACAATTCAACGAATTTTGAAAACATAGGCAAAAAATTTTTTAACACTTTTTTTCACCGAACCTTCGTAGTAATTCCAATTTCACTTTTTCATTTCGTAATTTCAGTTTTTGTTTCCACTAAAGGAGAAGAAAATTTTTCAAGTCCTTACCAAAATCTCCGTAAATTCGGGATACAATGTCTTAGAGTGCCCGTTGCTGTTATCGTCTCCTTATTATTGACATTAATCCGACATTAGCATATTTTTAGTTGAAGACAAGTAAAAACACTGTAGCGAGCCGCGGTAACCTGGACCACCCTATAGGTATTCATATAATGTCTTTGAAAATAAAGCATTACGTGAAAATCTTTGAAAGAAGTGGTCCGATCCGCAAACCTTTCAGCAATGTTCCTCCTTGAGTCTACGTTCGTCTGTATACTAAATTCAAAAACTACGATCTATAGGTTGAACACAAGAAAACAAGATAGACCGACGGGCGGACAAGAATTTCGTTTTTTTCAGAAAGCGATTCTGAATCGATCGCTTTAATAAAAAATGGGTCTATCCCAAGCCGTACAAAGCTGCGCAAATTTAATATACATTCTTCTGTAACAAGTGATGTAGAGTATAATGGTTCCCGAAAATCTAACCTATCTACCTTTTGCCTATATTTCCGATATCACCTGTCATATAAAAAAAAAATAAAAAAAAAATACAAATTTAGGACTAATTAAAGGCGTCTTTCATTGCTGGACTCAGGTGTTTTAGACTAAGTGAATAGCCTTGTGTTGTACACACAGCGACAAATTATCTGTAGAAGATGAGTTTCTTAATTAAATTGGCACTTGTCTAACCAGCGTTAAACTTATGGGGGAGGGGACATGGGAAAGGCGAAAGGGCACTACGAAATCATTCGCAATAAGTTCCGGGAAAAACACTTCAAAAAAAATTTCACTGGGAGAGAAGATGTCTTTGTCGTGAGTTGTCTTTATTAATACTCATTACTAAGTGGAGCGGGAGACTTCATTCTTGCTTTGTATTCATTCGCCGCAACAGTTCAGGTGGAGAATTATATGGCCATTTTGAAAAAAAAAATGTACTAGAGAAAATACGAATAGGAAAGGAGACGTACTTGCCTTCAGTCAATTTGATTATGATAATACCCGTGGACAACGTGACCATGACATTTGATTACAACACAAGGGAAAGATACTTTCACTCGATGTTTCGAATATGTTTTACATCGTATTTTTATACCATTTGAGAGCACTTTGCGCGTGATTATACAAATGCTTCGCACACATACTGTATCCAAAGAGAAAAACTCATTTAATTTTTTCCGTTTTTGAGTGCATTTGTTATTCTAAATCTATTTGGTCGCCAAACTAATCCTCAAAATCAAACAATATTCCTTGCTAACAGTTTGGCCGGCGAGAAGGATGTCATAGCGCCCCAGACCAGGATGATTGAATAAAAATGTTAACATTGCCTTGATCTTTGAGCGACTTTGGTGCGGTTTTTTCGGTCTTCGGCTCATCTTCCGCACGATTGATCGGCCAATTCCGGGTCATATACGTAGATTAAAACTTTATCTCCCGCAATAAAGCGTTCGATAAATAAATAAATAAATAAATAAAATCGCACATTGTAAAAATCGGAACAAATACGAAATTCGAGGTATATGTCCGTTACAGTGAAAAAAAAAATTTCTCTTATTCGATACAATTCGACACAATTCGACAATTTAACTTGAATATTGATCCTACTTTTTGATCAGAGTATTACACATTTTTTCGTTTGTGCGAAAATTATTTTATCAGTTTTACTTACTTAGAACTTTGTGCGTAAAATTATTTGAGCGAAAGTGTTAAATGGATAGTGTGCACTTTAAAGCACTGTCATTTAGAAAGAGGAGAAGATGATCAAATTTTTTAATATTGTGAGGGGGAAAATTATTCAGATTGGTTGAAAAATATGTTGTCCCCTCCGGGAAGCTTTATTCCTCGATTGTAATATATTGGAAATATTTTATAAAAATTTTTACTTGTCAAGAAATCTTTTCCTAGATATTCTCTTTTTCACTACAGAGTAAGCCTTTGGTAGCGCTCACGATATACGCAGAGACACAACAAACAAGTATAATCGAAATAGAGTCGCAAGTTGAAGCGATGGTCAGAGCAAAAAAAGTGAACGCATTGTGAAGACAATAATAACCATCAGAGCATTTACTCTGCTGGGACGATCACATTTGAAAAATATGAGACAAGGAGGAAAAGGGATATAGTTTTTAAGGCAAGGATTTATTTGTTGCTCTTTTTATAACCACGTCATCACGTCATGAACTTGTCCAATATTAAGGCTTATAAAAGACTGCTACTTTTTCTAATAATAGAATGCTGACGAAAGCCTGCTTACTGCTTCCTTTGTAGAATACATGACAGAGCAAAAATATCAAGAAGTTTATATAAAGGGAAGGCAAACGCAGGTCTCAATGACAATTGGATGCTCGTTACTTGGCAGTACAATAATTCATATCATTTCCAGGATTCGTGCCCAATTCGCCAGCGCATGGTCCCTTTCATGGGATTGATCTTAGGCTTAAGGCCTGGATCAAGATGCTGAATTTGTTTTTTCAACTGGGATTTCACTTTTCTCATAGAGGTTTTTTAAAGAGATGTACGTTTAATCCTTAATTAGAACCCTTTACAGATAGCATTTCCCACCTTATCGCTAGAAAAGCAAAGATGGGCCATAGGCTTACTTTTTAAAACAGACAAATATAGGTCGTCCAAAATCGAACTTCAATTTAAGGCTTTTTCTCGTACTCTTCTTAACCCTAAATTGTAATTGTAAATATGTAAACAGAGGAAATTTGGAATTACTTTTAAATTTGAAAAAAAAAGATAAAATAAAAATATTTCAATAATAATAATAAACATTAAAAAAAATAAAAAATAAAATATTATCTCCTTATGTATAAAGTAAAATTTATATCTAAATTAAAAATTTTCCGACTTTGGCAGTGAAAATTTTTAGAATGTTGTGTTAAAATGTAAAGCGAAATAAGTCATAAGTAAGTCGATGTGAACCGACTACTTGATACCTTACAACGCCGAAATATATTTTGTGATTTTGCTTTGACATCGTACGAGATCGCTATTGGAAAAGGAGACGTACTATTTTTTTTTTTTCAATTTTAGCTAATTGTGGGCGTGTTCGTAGACAGATAAAGTGTAAGAACCATTGCCATGCAAATTTCGAATTTTTATTACACTTTTATCGGAGTTATTATTGACAGCAGGCGGACGGAAGGAAGGACACACTTGTGCTGTCCAAGAATATAAAGTTACTTTGGCCAAGTAAATATATTTCTATATGTTTCACAGAGGTAACGAAGCTATTACTATCCGTCTACCATCCGATAATAGGCCATTACTATTTGCTGAATAGAAGTAAGACGATTTTTCCAAAAACTTTCCCAGCCCAAGAAAGCCTTGGGTGCCACATGATGAACAACTATGTCGAAAGATATCATAGAGATGTAAGGCATTATTAAAAATAAAAAATAAAAAAATACATACCGAATAATATCTTTGTTGATTTGATATACTTACTCTTACACAAATATTTCTATACATATGTACACAATGAGGGTATAATTACGATTATTGTTAGTTTTCCTTTTTGCCTAACAGTAGTATCATAATGTAAGTATGCAGGCTTTTTGTGTGTGTAGCTCATCTCTCAATATTGTTTATTTATTCACATAGAGCGATTGAATTAAATGGAAGAATATTTAGCTGCCAGGTTCATATGCCGATCGTGACGAGCTGAGCTCGTTACAGTTGATGCAACCGTTTTGCGTACTCGACCGGAGGAACAGGAATGATGCTGCCGTTGTTCTAATTGTATGCCTGTAGACATTGTCGGTGTTTGAGTAGCCATATTCAAGAGACGGGTATATCTATTGCTTAAATTTTTCGTGGAACTGTTTGTCGTTGCAACCATTACAACTTCTCGTTGTGCTGGTGTTTCAATTGCGGGTACTGATGTTGTTACTAATGATGTTGTTTGATTAATATTAATGGCTGTTGCTGCTGATGCTGCTGCTCCTGCTTTGTTGTTGCGTTGTTGGCATAATTGTGTTGTTGTTGTTGTTGTTGTTGTTGTATAATTTATGAAATAATAACAACGATAATAATTGGCAAATGATGTAAAATTCTTTTAGTTGTTACTGTCGTTCTTCTTTTCTTGTAGGGAAAAATTATTATTTTAGAGTTTTGTATGAAAAAATGTTTTTATCTTCATTATCGTTTTCGCATTTTCATTGTTTCACTTTATACAAATACACGCACTCATACGAAGAAGAATAAGAAGAAGAATGAAGAAGAAGAACATCTAGATATTATATTATATACATTCATTCATACAAAAGAATTCGGAAATGAATTAAAATATAATGACATACAAACGCGGGTTAAATTCGTTTTTCGTTTTTGGTTTTTTGTTTTTTTTTGGCTTTGTTTTTCTTTCTTCCTTTTTTTAATTTTTTTTGGTTTTCTTTTGTATATCGTTTGGTCGTTTGTTCAGTATTTATATCTTATCGGTCCTATTATAATTATTCGTATGTGTTGTATATAACAATATCAATAAACAACATTTAGAGTTTCAAGGATTTTGTGTGGTTTATATGCTTCTACTGAGATCTAATTGGAAATATTAAACACACACATTAACTTAGATTGTGAAACAACAAGCAAATCACAATCAATCAATTAATCAATCAATCAATCAATGATGATTCCAAAAAGTATATGTGATGATAATGAATTCACGAACACAATCCTTTCTAAGCTTTTTTTTTCTTAAACTTTTTTGTTTTGGTTTTGTTTTTTCTGTTTTTTTTTTTTTTCTTGGTTTTTTGCCTTTTCATTCGCTTTTTTATTTTTTATTTTTTAGTGTTTTTTTTTTTTTTTTTTTTGTGAACTTATTTCGCTTAAACTGGATTTTATGTAACAGAGAGAATGAGCAAGCGAAAGACAGAGAGGGAGAAAGAGAAAGAGATAAAGAGAGAAAATACATCTTTTCACACAGCTAACAACAATTACACATATGTAAGTAGATAACAAAGTATGGCGATTTAACAAATATGGTGATGTCGTGTGTGTCACATACATAAATGCAACAAACATTGTGTACGCATTCGATGGGCATGGGTCATGAGATACATGATATGTATATCATCATCATACCGATCGGCTGATGGGGCAGCTCGCTCCCGTGTTATATGATGCTTTCTCGATTACGTTCCATCTCCTCGGCCTCATGTTCCGGATCGAGGCTTGATGTCGATGATACCCGACATATTTGCATTTCAATTTCAGCTAAACGATTCTCTAGATTCCACTGTTGTTGCGAGAGTTTAGTGTTAAGAGCCTGATTTTCCGATTCCACCGTATGCAGACGTTCCCTTAAACGTTTAATTTCATCTTCCAAGGCTTCATGTGATCCCAGAAGTGGAGTAGTGCCTCCCCCACCACCACTTGTTGCCGAAGTGCCGGTTCCGTAACATTCTAAATGTATACTAGAGTCACAAATGTTTCCTAGAGGAGAAAAAATCACAAAGCCAACAGAAAGTATTTACAAGGTCAAATAGTAATAGAAGGAGCATTTTAATATAACAAGTCCGCTAAAAAAGTTTACTGCTTACTTTCGTTGTCATTTTCGTAAAAAGCAATTTTAATGTTAGTCGTCATATTTGACAGTCATGATGAAGGAAATTTATGGTATAAAAGTTTTCAGCTGACTTTCTCGCTTTGAATGCAAGAAGCTTTTTTGCAAAACCGGACATATAGGGAAGAAATTAAAGATAATTTTCTATTAAACCCATCAAAGTTGCCATCCAAGAAGCATGGTTTATACAGCAGAGGCATTTCGTCGCAGCTACACTGAATGCTCGGGTGGAAAAAGCACAAAACTTACTGATCGGGCCCATGCACCATACCTTCGACCATCGCATATCCGCCTTTCTTCACTTTTTCCGAGTAATATATTATATCACGTTATGCACAGAAGGCATCTCTTGCTTACTACGCCTCTTGTAGCAAAACGTATGTTGAATACCCGGATATATCGTCAAACTTAACATAAATGAAAAACATAAATGAATGCAGCTTCGCATCACAATGAAATTTTGTATATAACTCCTACATAGTTAATCGAGTCATTTGATTAAAAATTCACTCTATTACGAAACTGTAGTGTTTGGTTTCCACGATTATTTTCTTCTTTTCTAAGAGTGTGAAGATAGTTCCTTAGCAAGTATTGAATCCGTGATATTTCTGCTTTCAGAGCCGTCTTCGCATTACCTTAAGATGGGCTCCTCTACGTTTTATTGATTTCTGGCCACTGATTACTGCAATTATTTATGTCGCTCTATAAAAGGTGTTGTAAATTAAAGAGGACTTTATATAGCTGCGTATTTTCGTAGCTTAATCTACTGATGGCCAGTGGCCAAAAACGGTCCAACGCTTGCTCAAGTTCTGAGAAAAAAAAATCAATTCGACAAATAAAAGCCGAGAGTGTGTATGTTGCGTCAATGCAAACATTAAAAAACTCGAAATGATACAATTAACGAAATAATACGCTATACTGTAGCAGAGTCCACAAGTGATGTATCATACGCGCTGAAAGAGCAGCTGTGATCAACAATATATCGAACAAACCTAAACATGCCAAGTATTCTTTGCTGAAATGTCTCAGAGACTAGGCATCAAGAGCCATTAATTTATTGCACTTTGAGCGAATATTTTGCCTGTAGTCATCAATGTACTTTCGAATGTGGCAAATTGATATACAAGTCCATCAGTGGACACTTGCGACTGATTTATCTCCAAATACTTGCTGTATTCGGACAGTTAAGAATACTTTGATGCGAAAAAATCAAAATAGTAAATATCTGGTCTCATCTTGTAAAGGTCTTCTTTACTTCTGGATGGCGTCTATTATTTATAATGTAGCAATTCACAAGCTAGGCTCTCTGAATAAATCTTTCCACTATACAATCTTTATAGATCTTTACGTTTATCATTTAAAGGAAAGAAACTTCCTGATCAATCTTGCCAACCCAAAGCTAATTTATTAAATCAGACTTAGCATGCTAAGATTATGTTTTATGTATATTAACTTGGCATTATGGCACCCGTCGCCGAGAAACGGTTATATGATACTGACTTTGCCCTGCGGTATTTTCGGTTGAAAAACGTCTGTAACTCATTCAAATCTCTTACTATCCTGGCAACGAAACTGCTTACATTTTATTCAAGACATTAGAAATCGTTTATTCAAATGTTTTGTCGGGACTGTACTTTTTCGGTTTTCTCCCTAATCTACGGTTGTGGTAACTACTATGCGTTACTATCTTGTCTACGCTATTTATATAAGGAGAATATTACTGCGCTCCTTAAGAACCCAATACAAAAGCTTTATGGTCGAGCATGTGAAAAGATTTAGATTAGCCTTTATCTGAAATTAACTTAAATTTTGATCCCTTTTGTTTGCACAGCAACGACATCGCGCGACCAGCAGTAAAATGTAAATAGTAAACTTTTCCGGCGACGTAAGGATAACAATAAAAGCGAACCTGTTCTACTTGGCTGTGATTGCGGGCGTGTGGAATGATGCGAGGTTGCTCGACTGCGAGGTCTGTCATCCGAACTATGTACACTGGGACTCATAGAGCCCGGAGATTCAACTGTACGTATAATACGTTCAGTATAAGTTTGTGATGTGCGCGGACTAGGTGCTCGACTGAAATGAAAATAAAATGCAATGAAATTATAAAACATTGAAGATATATTAAGATCAAGAGAATATGCTTAAATCGTAGGTTATATTAGATGGAATACCTATAGGCCAAGCTTTGCGTTTGTTGTTGCAACTGATATTCGTGACGTGACAATTGTTGCATTGAATGTGGCACTAGCGGTACTGATGGTGGCGGTAAGTACATATCTTCCAAAGTGGTGCGACCACAACTCTCTACCAAACCAGGTGTCGATTGGCAACGTCCCATGGCAACTGTATTAAAGTATTGTACTGTACATATATTGCAATTATAAATGGAAAATTTTTAATATACCAAAATGTCAGGGGATTTTACTTTGTTAGGAGAGATCTCTGTCTACGTGCATGCGCTTATATAGTGTTTTGCATGTAAATAGTAATTGTTTCGATGTAAACATGCAACTAAAATGTCTGTGTTTTGTGCAAAAATGTAAGCTTAAATGGTTTTCTTTATTTTTTTTTTTGTTTTTTCCTATTTTTTTTTTTTTTTGTTTTGTTTTTTTTTTTGTTTTTCGTTTTAATAACTTTACCTTTCTCTAGGGGTGCTTTCTTGTACTTTTCTAGACGTTTTACAGCAATTGCTTCCAGTCTTACACGAGCAGCTGGATACTCCTTCAAAACATCCCACATATCCTTTTTGCTAAGTACAAATAGATCACTATATCCCACTGAGCGTACTGAGGCAGTGCGTCGGTTACCTAATGAGCAATATGGTGAAAGAAACACGACAAAGACTGAAATATTGAAAGTTTCCTTTTACATTACTTTTTATGTCGGACATGGAACATGCATTTGCATTCACACTTAGAAAATTTTTAAATTGTTTTTTGTTATTTTTTCCTTTTTTTTTTTTTATCTTTTTTTTGTATGAGACACTTTAACATGGATGACGACAATTTTTAAGGGGGACCATAAGCATTCTACGTGCTCTTCACTGAAGTGTAGTTTTTCTTTTTTTTGTTTGGATTAAATGGGAACGTGTAAGGGCAGGGTGAAATACGTAACAATTGATGTTTTTTGAAGAGATTTTGAAGACATGCGTTTACGTTTTTTTTTTTTTTTTGTTTTTTTTCGACTAAAAGAAAGAAATTTGTGCATTTTGGAAAAATAGCTGAATCATCAAATAACCAAGACAGCGATTTAACTTAGAAAGACGGTAGACACAGATAAAGATAAAAACAACCATACAAAATGGAATAAACTCAGTTAAAAAAGAAGAATGTCTTTAACGTATCAATTGAAAATTGAAATCTTTCATTATGTAGATTATACAAAGAAATTAGGATTTTTCCTACTATCGCTCTCTCTATCGAGATTCGCTCCTGCAATTTTCCTGCAGGGGAGTTTCGTTAATGCGTGGTAATCAAGCTTAGATTTTGTTTTCTATACCAGCCGCATGGCAGGGTTTACCTCATATGAAAATTCAATTTTTTTTTTTTTTTTCTCTTAAAGATTAAAGAACAACTATTAGATTGCGAGTGTGCTCGCGGTGTTCTTTTCAATAACCGAAATGTCTAGTTGTTACCACCTAGTATATGCAAACATTATCCACTTTTTCTCGAAATTTTCTCAGATCTCCTGATAAACAGAGGGACAAATTAATTATCATACTGACGATGAGTTGAAAAAGCGACTACACAGCTACAAAGACTCGATTCAAACCTTTGCCGGGCTTAAAGACATGTATGCTCCTTGAATGCTTTAATTTAATACTGTGTTGTCAAACTAAGCATTTATGTTGACAGAACGATTACGTTGACATTGCGTTTTTTTAGACAATAGTTGTTATATTTTATTCACAAGTAAGGATTAACGGATCGACAAGCACATAAGCGTGGCAAGGCTTTGTTGCAACTTCTTTACTATTTGTTTAATCTGAAGACGTTCGCGAAGGTTTAATAGAAAAATGCTCGCGGAGATAGTGGATGAACGTGAGAAAGTAGTCGAAAGCGAGGAGAATTGATTGGGAGGGGGACGATAAAGAGACAGAGAACGTGAGACTGAGTGTGAGAGAGAGAGGGAGAGTAAGACAGAAATAAGGGGCAGTGCTCCGATGCGATGGTAACAGAAAGGCAGAGTCTTTTGGAGGGAATTGTAAAAAGTCACGTTCGGTGGTGTTTTAAAACGAAGAAAACCTTAACAAAGCATTTTTGTTTATAAATTAAGTTGATTCGGTTCTTTAAACGCAAGCTTGTACATGCCAGCATAACAAAAAATCTGTTTAAAGGGGAATTATTGCTAAAATGACTGATTCTTAGGCAGATGGCGGTTTTTTTCTTTTCCTTTCAGTTTCTACTACCTAAAGCAGCGTAAGTTTTTCATTTTTCAGCAAAAATCGAGTACCGGTTTCGCTAAGTGGCCCCTAAATATTGGACTTTTATTTATAGATGACCTTCGTTCAATAATAAAAATTCTAGGGAATGATAAACCATGGTTTAGGGGGAGCATAGACGTGCCGAAACTCTCACCTCCCCGTGGCGATCTCTGGAAACCGGCCCGATCGGCCAAGAAGAGTTTAAGACTTGGACTATTTATAACAAGTCTTCTGAGAGATGACTTAGGGGTTCACTGGAGGATATATTCTTTTCTCATAAGTTAATTTCTACAGAGGAAATTTTAACCAAAACCAGCTGGTAACTGGTTACGGTAGTAATTAATGAGTGCAGAGTAGCCCGCCCGCCATGTCAGTTGTAACATCCGATTCTACAATATCTTGATGAAGGCTACTCTGGTTTTGGCTTGCGAAGCATACAGAATTTTGTGGCAAGGGTTTAACGTGGGTTCCTGCCTGAAAGGCTTAACCCCACGGTGGCCCAAGCCACTTTTAAGCGTACTACGCCCCCTGGCGAGTTAGACAATCCCCACAGAGTAGGGGCCTAAACAGCACCAGAGTCCAGAACAGTTTATTGTGTATGGAACAATAAACCCCACTCTGGTGTTGCGAAGCATACACAAGGATTAAATTTAATAATTTTGATCTTTGTCTACATAAAATTCGAATTTTCACTTAGTGTTATTGAGTTATGCAACGAGCACAGCCAGCAATAATTGAATGTACAAACTTACTTTTTCGACACTCACTACTTTTATTGTTTTAGTTGAAGAAGTCTACCGCCGAAACTCATCAAACACTTTTAGAAGCTTATGGCGAAACTGCTCCATCATATTCCCATTGTCGCTTTCGGTTTCGGTTTCGATGGTTTCAAAGTAGTAATCTTCATATCGATGACAAAGAAAGGCTTGGAGGACCAATAAAGTTCGAAGAAAATGAATTGCAAGACGTATTGGACGAAAACCCAGGTCAAGCTCTCAAAAAACTTTCAAACAGTTTAGTAGTTCATAAATCAGCCGTGTGTAGACGTTTACATACGTAGCGAAAGATCCAAAAGGAGGACAAGTGAGTACCAAAGGAATTGACGGAAAATGGTAGTTCGAACTGGCTCAACATCATGTTTGGCAAGCAAAAAGAGAAAGTTGTTTTGTGGCTTATTGTGATTGGCGGCGGAAAATGGAACTACTACGACAATCTCAAGCGCAAAAAATCATGGATTAGTCCACGATGGGATCAGGAAGCTCTAGTATATTACGACCTGCTAAAACCGAGAGAAACTATTGCCGCAAATGTGCACCGACGTCAATTGGACAGATGGGACGATGTATTGCTATAAAAAAGACCACTAACAACGGTTACCAAATACAAGAAAGTAATTTTAAAAGTTGTCATTGTGAAAATGAATTTGGAGTCTACTGCGTCATTCCTATAAGATGTAAACCTCGTCGACGGTTAATAAATTGTTCAATAAATTATCGCAGTTGGTATCACGATCGTCCAAAATCAAGAATTATTTCTTATTCTGTTTTTGATGGAGCAATTTCAGCAATCATTGTCCCATATAGGCGATTGTTAGAAAGGTCCGGGAAAACCGTATCATTACACTCAATTGCTTAATGCAGAAAGAATCTAAACATTGATACGTTCTAGCCCTACCTTAGCTGTAACGTAGGTGTAACTATTGATTGAAGGTTTTTCTCGCTTGATAACCAAAAATATATGCATTAAACATCAATTACTTTACCTTTTTCTTCTTCTTTTTCTTGAATGTTCAGCGCGTCAACGCCGGATTATTCGCCGCGATAGTGAAAAAAAAGGCACAGTGTGAACACAAAGTTCTTTGCCTAGGCCTTAATAAAGTACGAGTACGAAGAAAACGAAGAACACGAAGTTGTTTGTTTGCCAATTGTCATTATCTATAGTTTTGTTTATAATCAAAGTTTGCTAAAACATTTTATAAAGATTTCTTATCGTTGAAACCAACGCGGAAAATTTTCTTTCACTTTATATCCTGTGGATAAAGTGGACTACACGTTGTAAAAACCAAGAGAGATAAACCTGACACGACTTTAAGGGACTACCTATTGCTACCATAAGGTTATCAACTTCAGACTTGTAGGCACAGTCTTACTTAACATGATTTTATCTAAAATCTAGGGTATCCTAGACTGTCATATAAGGGAATAATTAGATAGAAAACAATTCAAACTCAGGTCGAATGATTATTGGCCCGCAATTTTTTATTTCAGAGAGCCTTATCACCGAGTAAAGAGTACTCAAAACTGACAGACATGTTATAAATAAATGAATTCACACATACATACGTACATAGTATAGGGCCAGGCAAAACAATACAACATAATTCAAGATGAAATTAAAGCTTATGAATAAATATAAGAAAGGAAAACATCACAAATAAATACACACATAAATATTGATAAACAGTTTTTTTTTTTTTTTTTTTTTTGAAAATCTCATCAAATAAATGGTTTTTACTCAAATATGTAACAAGTAAAAAAATTAAAAAAATATTCATATAGAATTTCATAAAATTTTTAAATAAACAGTTTAAAAAGTATATAAGATTTTTCAACATACTGGCCGTTAGTATTAGTAGATTGCCTAAGCTTCTTAACTAAACGATTTCAAGATTACAGCAAAAGCGTACTTAGAACTTTTACTCAATTTTTGACTATTTTTGTATAATGCTTTTACATGATATTTATGATAGGAGGTGAACTAATTAAGTAAAACGCTAATAAAATACATGACGTTCTCGGTAATAAGTGAGCGTCGGTTCTAGCCAGCACTCTGTGGCATTGTTCAGCAACTGCTGTTGCTTTCAATTTACGTGCAGTGCATATAGTTCTTTATATCCATCCACTCAACTGTCAGTTGCAGTGAAATGTATTTAATTTTATCGTCTACTACGTTTCATTTTCTTTCTTTTTATTCCTCTATTTCTTTTTGCCCATAAGCCATAAACACAGCCCATAGCCACTAGTTTTGCTTCCAAAAAAAAAAATAAATAAATAGAAAAAAAAAAATAAAAAATACGAACTGTTACTTTTATCCACTTTTTTATTTTCGCTTTGAGAGTTTAATTAAAATGGAAATTTATATTTTATTTACAAATACTACGGAGCGTATAAGTGTTTTACATTTTAAAAGTTCCGCATACGTATATTTTTCCATTTGATTGAGAAATTTTCGCAAAACTTAATTTTAAAAGTTTTAACCGCAAAATCCGTACGTAACTAGTTGGACGGAAAATTTATTTCCAAATTCTCATCAATCAAATCAATACAAAGCATCAGGTGCACAAAAAACCAGTATTTTGTTATTCTTTCAATCAAAAGTCTGAAGTGAATTTAAATTTGTTCACTTTCAAGTTTTTTTTTA